TAAGATTTTTTAGTTGTATAACACAGTCATTTCGTATGAAAAGAGGAACTCATTGTTTTTGTTCTTTGTTATTACTATTTTTTTTATTTATATTATTGTGAAAGTTGAAATCTTGTTTGGGTTTCCCATTTATTATCTTGGTTTTTTTTTTGCATTTTTTTTTTATTTTCTTCTTACTGTTATAGTTTGCTACTATTTATGGTGAATGTTTTTTACTGTCAACTTAGATTTTCACATTCTAAATTCAAAATAAAAAATATAAAAAAAAAACAAAAAAGACCTGAAAGACAAGATTCGGAAGGGTGTATTTCAGTATTCATTTAATCGAATGGATAAAAGCTGAAGAATAAAAAAATTCCGATACGGTCAGCACATAACCGACCCGCAAAGTGTATACAAAATTGCAGGCGAAAGTGTTGCAATATATTAAGGCAATAAGAATTGCCTTAATAAATAAATTTAATAAATAATTTAAAGGCAATAAGAATTGCCTTTAAATACTTCTTTCATATTTTAAGGATTCTAATAAGATTTTAATTGGCATAATTAGAAAATATTAATTGCTTAGTACGAACGCTACCCAAACCCTTCGGAAAGTACACTATTTTTACCGGTAACAAACTGAAATCTACTATTAAGTTTCAAGAAATTTTATAAATTCTTGTTTGTTTAATATAATAGTATGATAGGAAGTTAATGTGTTAAATATTTTCATAAAAAGAATCAGAAATTTAAAATCAGCCTATAGTGGAAGTTCAGCTCTTAAAATTTGACCTGTCTTAGAAGTTGATTAAATGTTAGCTAAAGTAAACACAGATATAAATTTTCGTTTCAGTTCACCCGAAATTTGAGACGCATGAGTTCACACACTCACAAACGGAGCGACATCTTGCCAAAAATAATTTATTTACGTTCCGCTACTATATAGAAAAGTGCATTTACATTCGAAATTAGGTTCCAATACATAACCTCCCTTATTGCAGAGAATGCGGTCAGTAAAAAACAAACCCAGTAAAAAATTAGCATTAAAATATTTTGCTATAAACAAAAAGAAGAAAAAATTTGTAATAAGACAATGACACTAAACAAAACTAATAATAATAAATAGAGAATGAAAAACTCCGCGGGTAATTTAGTAATTTATGGTCGTATATCTAATAAAGGTGTCACCACTTGAATATTTTTCATTAAGTTTTCAGACAAAAATAGAAGTATTATAATACAAAAAATAAAATAAAATTATATAGATGTCTTACTTTTGTAAAGGAAACAGAAAATCAAGTAATTTAACAATTTTTACAGTTATCTATGGACATTGTTATATTTTATTATTATTTTTCAGTATTTTTAAAAATCTATGAGGACCAGGCATATAGTAGATTTATTTTTAGTTTTAACAATTTTTTTTTTTTCGAAATGTTGTTTAAATATTTTAGTTCTTCGCTTGATATATCAATAATTTAATTAATAAGATTACCCAAGTATGGGGCTTGTAGTTCGAAAAATTGTTAAATTTTGGCTTATAATAAAAAATTAATTTGGACAATTTTCACAATTAAAAGTTTAACAATTTTATAGTTACGATAAAGAACGAAAATGCAAAGTAAAAAAATTAAAGTGATTTGATGTAAACAAAGGGGCTATTGTGACTCTTAATTTATTTTCCAAATCAAAATAATTTAATATTGATTTGGCGTAATTAAGCTCCAATTTAAATTTATGATTGGAGACAATTAAACTTTTGATTTTTGAGCTTTTTATTAAATTTAATAATAACCATTTAAGAATTAATTTGTTTCCAAAGATAGACAAATAATTGATTGAAATGCAAATTATTCCCTTCTAATGAAAATTTAAATAAATTTTTGCAAAAAAAAAAAACAACTTTATATGACTACCTTAATCGATGATCAATCGTTGTTGGGTAATTAATTTCATGGAATCCAAATAAAATGAAATTTTTGACGAAATTCTGGATATCGAATATTAAGATATTCTATTAGTTTAATCGAAGCCTTAAATAGATTTAAAAATTCTTTCTCATTAGCACGATACAGTCAACATGACTTCGGCATAACATAAAAAATAAAACCTGTACATCTGGAACTGAGTTAAGATTAAAATAAAAATATGAAATTTAAACGGGATTATTTTCTAAAATACTATTATACCATTTACTGTTACTATTAACAGTATTATTAACATTATACTGTTATTAATAAAATTTGTCTCCATATAGTAAAAAATTTTCAATACGCTTCTACACAAATCAAATAGGCGTTTTGAAAACAGCACATATATAACAGACAATTGAATAGAATTAATATACAAAATGGCATTTAATATTATTAAATTAAATTTTTATTTTACTAATATAAATATATCGTCTTTTATGTATTTTAATATTATTAATTTTTTATAAAATAAAAATTATATTTTTTATATCATTTTATGTAAATTTTTTTTTTTATTCAACTTAAATATTATCATATATGCGGTATAATCATAATAATGTAAGTACATAGGTACTAAACCGCAATAAATGACATACGCAACCACTGTATATTAATTTAGATGAAAAGCTCAACGTAAAATGAGCATATAACGTACAATATACTTAGGAAAAATTGTTGGAAATCTTTCAAAAGACGTGCGTATACATACATACATATATTTAAGAAAATTTATATTATATATTATTATAGGTATATAGGTATAATGATATTATTATGACGACAAAATTGTGTAATAACAATAATAATAATAATATTGATGTTGATTATAAATAATAATGATAATCTTACACCATCATCATCATCATTATCATCATCGTCGTCATGGATTTTTTGTATATAGGTAGATATTATATAATATATTTATATATATATACGAGTATATATTTTTTTTTATTTAAAATTTTATAAAAATAAACGCATTTAAATATTTTATGCTTCTTAATTTTTTTTTTTCTTTTTACTATTCAAATACATACCTTTAGGCTTTATGTGATGGGGTCAATATTCTGCCCTAATACGTAGAAAAGGCAAAAAAAAAAATGCTAAAAGAAATTTGTCGTTCTTTACCTATATTTACATATTTTATGCAATTTTTTTTTTCCCTACGTTTAACTTATGTTTATGTATTTAGATACAATTTATGCCTATGTATTAATAAGAATAAATTTGTTTATGTGTGTGTATATTTGTACAAATGTTGTAAATTCATAGTGTATACGAATATTTTTCTTATATGAAATGTAAATGATATAAAATAATTTTTTTTTTTTAAAGTTATTTTTGTAAGTAAGTTTTTCAGTTTTTTACTTGAGGATGTGAGTTTTCTTTTTTAAATATTTTATTTGTTTTCTGTTATACTTGTTTTTCTATTCTCATTAATTTTATATTTTTTTTCCCTGTGCAAGATTTTAATATTTTTTGAATATATTTTTTTTTTATTTTTCATATAAGGCGGTAAAATTTAATACACTAAACATTTATTTAGATTTTTTTTAAAGAAACTGAAAAAATATTATTTAGAGTAGACATATATGTGTATAACAGTATTAAACGAATTTTTTATTTTATGATTATTTTATTTTTTTTTGTTTTCTTAATATGAATTTTATTGCATTTTTATATCAGCATAAAATATATAAATTTTTAATAGGGAAATTTTCTGTTATTCTATTTTTATTTTTCTTCTTCATTTTTTTTTTAGTGTTTAAAGGTCTGCAATATTTTCATCTATATACCATTATTATATTTTTCATCTTAACCTATCTATATTATATGTATTATGAGTATGTCATATGACTTTAAGAAATTTAGTCGGTATGAAGTATGAAGATAATATTTTTAAAAAACTATTTTAGTTAAAATGTACGTACCTATAGGTATAAATGGGCATAAGACTATTTTATTAAGTATATAACGTATATAAAATAGTTAAAGGGTTAGAAAAGTTCTTATTTTTAAAATGAAGTCAAGGTGTTTATTATAATAAATATGATGCAGTATAGTAGATACATAAATACTTTACCTATACCTAAATTTTTTTATTATATTTTATTTTGTTTTTTTTTTTTATGAATATGAAATAATGTAAAAGTAAAATGGATATAATATTGCAGAAAATTTTAATTTTTAATTTTTCGAAATTTTTTTTCGAAAATAGAAAAATGAAATTTATAAAATTAAAATTGATCCGCACATAACCGACCACAAGATTGCCTGGTTTAGCGAAATGGCCTATAAACACTTTTTTCAAATTTTAAGGATGCTAGTAAGCTTTTAGTAAACATATCTATAAGAAAATTTGAATTTGGCTCTTGGTAGTAGAGTTACTTTGTATGCCATCTCAATTATTGGAAATGTAACTTTTAGTAGCAAATTGAACTCATCGGTGAATTTCAGTATTAAACTGATCTCAAATATTGAATTTCAACAAATTCTGTCAATTAATTCCTTAGGTATGGTAAAAAGTGTAAAATTTCCAGTTCGGTTTTCTGACTCTGATATTTCCAAAAAATTTACAAGTTAATATTGAATTTCAAGGAAATCAGTTTGTTATTTTTTTTTTCTATAAAAAAAAATAACAAACGTATGTGAACTGCTTAATTTTTTCAAAAAATTAGGCAATTTTTCAAACGAAGCTTATATATAAAATTTCATGTTAATCTGTTGAATATTTTTCTTCAAAATGAACAAAAATGTAAAACCGTCCGGTTTCCAAGGCCTGACATATTTCAAAAATTGATCAATCCATGCCATAGCCATAATAAATTCACAGATAAAATGTTATCAAAACTTGAGATACGCGCATCAGCCACACCAACAGACTGACATCTTCCGAAATATACTTTATTTATACTCCGCTACTAAGACTCGTAAATAGACATATTATAGTCAATCTACTTATATTCAAATTGTAATTTCAAATATGATGAATAAAATTTTTTAAATTTACTTTATTAAAATTTTCATTTTTTTTTCTTTTACAGCTTTATATATCATTCAGAGAACTCGAATAACACATATGAAGTCATGAATTAAAATTATTAATTTTAAAATTAATTGATGTTAATGGTCGAAGGAATTTTCATATTACATATGTAATAAATAGTCACCATTATAATAAAAAGTGAGTACTTATTTTATATACATATTATATTAAATTTTTTAATATAAATAAATTTAAAAATTATAATACATTTTTATATAGGTTAATATTGTAAATTCATTAAAAAATTTCATAAGCTTACTACAAGCCCGTCTTTTAAATACAATTCTATTTTTAAGAAAAGTAAGCAAATTTCTCAGCTCTTCCATACGTTGTGACTTGCTACTGTGTAAGAAATTTTAAAATTGTTTGTAATACTTTAATAAACACTATTATTAAGAAATTCGGTAATTGAGACAATTACACGAAGTTATTTCAGTTTTTGTAATTAACTCTTAAAATATTCATTATAATAGAGTATAAAAATGATTTCTTTATTTTAGGAAAATATTCCTAATATCGTCCAGTTTCGAATTAACATTATACGTAAAATATACAATAAAATTTAAGCAGTTCACATACGTAAATATTATTGTAGAAGATAATTATTTTTAAAATCAATTTCAATGTAAAATTTATTTTATGCCCATATTCGCTAATTAAGGTTCATTTTTAATACAAATTCTTTATTCATAAAATTACATAATCGTACAAAATATAATCGAACAAATATTTTGTATATTTCATATTTTTTATGTTTGTACAAATTCGAATAATAACAAAGTGTCCTTCGCGCGTATGGCGATCTTTTATTATTTTTCATTCAATATAAATAAAGTAATATTAAAAAATCACGCTCCAATATTATTTTCAATGTTATCTGTATATCTATATTACTTAAAAAAGCCAAAATGATAAAAATTAAAAAAAATATTTTCCTCTAAAAATATAAAATCTATTAAATTTTTCATAAAACATACAAATATACAAATATCGACACAATATTTACTAGATCTATAATAATAATAGTAAAATAATCTAAGATAAAAAAGAAAAAGTATATATAGAATATTATCCTTACGAAAATTAAATATTATTACAATTTTATGTATAATAAGAATATAACTATGTATATAATAAGAAATCCCTTTTCAAAACATGCTTAATACTCATAACGAACATTGAAACGATTAAATTTAATAACGGTTTTATTATAATGACAATAGAATAGATTATATGACGTTTTTTTATTATACACACATACATATACGTTTTAATATTATAACAGCTATGTATAAATGAAAATATACATTAAAATATCTTTATATTTCGTATATAATATTGATATGAAGTGTACGTGTGTAATAAAATGCACTGTAAAATCTGTAGGGGCGAAAATTTTATTATAATATTATGTTTAAGTTTATATTATTTAAGTAATTCATGTACAAACACATATTATATAATAAATATTAAGTAATATAGAATAGAATATACGTTCCTTTTTATAGATTTTTTTTTTATATTAAAGTAAAAGATAATAATAAAATGTATTTTAAGAGGTTTTGGAACAATTAAATATAAAATTTATTTTAGTATGATCAAGATATTTTTTATGTACAATAGTTTTATAATGATATAATATTGATAGAATATCAAGGTCCCCTTCTTATGTGTATAAAATTAGTGCATAAAAGGTAAACAAAGGCACTTTTGAATATTATTAAAATATTGACAATAATTTAATAAATCTTATATAATATTTCTATGAAATAAAAATTAACTAGCTAGCTATATGTCAGCTAGCTATATGTCAGGAAATTTTCAATTCAATTTTAAACAGTGTATTCTGAAGATTAAAATTGCTTTTGTTAAATTATTTTTTTAAGAATTAATTTTATTAAAATTTCACAAGTCATGTAATAATAAGAGTGCGAAGCGAAGTAACGCATAATTCATTCATATATCTGCTCTATTTTGTAAGATAGTTTACTATGAGTGATTTAAAATCAAAATATTTCAAAAGGAACTGTATTCGAAAGGTAACAATGGGAGCTAATGGGTTAAGAGTAAAAAATATAGATTTTCTTTTTGAGTCATAATGCAACTAACTACCCGAATTTGTGTCTTAAACGTTTTATTATTCAAACCAGTTATTATGCACATTTTAATATAATTTTTTTGGAAAAATCATCTAAAATTTCATTGAAAATACCAGATGCGTTAAATAAAGTTTTTAATATTTTATTATTAATTTACAATAATTTCAATATGAGTTTAATAGAAAATTGATACTATTATGAAGTAAGCATGTAGGTAGATATAATGTAGGAGGATTCTATTGTTTCTTTATATTATTTACAGCAAATATACACCACCTACACAATGCACACAAAAATTTTTTTTTAAATTTTTCGATAATTTTGTTTAAAAACGCGAATTTCTATCATATAATATTGCGTGTATATCAGTATGTAGATATTTAAAATTATATTCGTGTTATCTGGTACAAATTTCGCATAATGTTATGTTTTTATATTAAAAAAAAAACTGTACATATGTGTGTACTTAAAAATATGCAGCATCTGTTAACTCGAATGTATCTGTATTTAAATTTTACAAATAATAGATATTATATACATGGTATGTTCATTATAACTATGCTGCATATATAATATATAACCGTATTTGAAATAATTTTAGAACATAATATTTAATATATAGATACTAAAATCGCTTCTATGTATAAGTAAAATAGTGCATAATATTATGTAAATTTACCACAAAATGACATACTTACACATATTAAGTCATGTTTTATTATATACGAAGGAAGCGTGAAATCTATTTTATAAATTGAATACAAAGGTGCATATATTGAAAAGGTAAAAATATTGAAATAAACGTTATATGAACATTAAAATATACCAATTATGGAGTAGATATTCCTAGGCAGCTAGTGGAATTTGTACTGTGTATTTGCGTAATAATTATGATAAAACGAATAATAAGGGTAATTGTTGTATAAAAAACTATAATAATTGATTATGCAAAACGTGAAATCTTACTAGACAAATGCCATTGAGTAAGTGGTCTTCTTCGGTATTAGAATCATTATTACCATTGATACTAAATCAATATTAACGAGTTTTACAAATAATAACATGTATATTATTTAAAATAACATGAAATCAGGATATTAGTACCAAACCAGATTTGGTACAAGATAATAGAAATAAAAGTTGCATAAGGTATGAAATGAAAGATTATTTTAAGATTAAACAACCATAACAAATTCTTTTGAGATTTTCATGCTATATTGAAAATCTCTTAAGGTCACTATAATATTTTTTTTTAATATAGTATCACACTTTGACCGAATTAAAAAATTTTAGAATTTAATTTAAAATTTATGAAATATTAGCGTATATATTTAAGTGTAGGGTATAATATAACACAATTGATTTATAATCAACCAAAATATTTCCACTATAAAGTTATATTTAGGTACTTGCTTCACACATTTTTATATTATATATACATACACATATTATGTTGTTTTAATTTTTTCTATTATGTACTCATATCTCGTTAATATAGTATTTCATCTTTTTCATATTTATGTCGTTATTATATGAGTTTTAGGAACCACAAAATATCACTTCACTTCATTATAATGATAATGTGTTTAACTGTGGTCTCTCATACAGAAAAATAAATAGAAAAACAAAAACAAAAAAAAAAAATATAAAATTTTCTAAAGTGAAATTAAACCGATCCTATAAAATATTTTATTAGTTTCATAAAGTGTATTTATATTGGGAAATTCTTCTGCAAAAGGGAGTTTTTTTTATTATGTACATAAATAATAATTATTATACATACCATTATTTGGTTTTACACCATAACATAATATGCATATAATAAATAAATGTATACATTATGTAGAAAATTATACAGAGTGACAATTAAAATAATGTAAAGCTTGGAATATAATTACAACATTTGAATTTTTTTAATAGAATAAATAGATTTTTGAAATTATTATAAAATATATTTTTTTCGATTTTCTATTAATACTAGATGTAATATTGAATTTATCAAGAGTGTACTTAGTATCTATTAAGTTTCAATTTTAATAAAAGATTTCAATTAAAAATTATGAAAATATGCAAAGAATTACTAAAGTACTCTTTTTCTTCATCAAGTAAGTGAAATTAAAATATTTCTCTTAAAAATATATCTAATTTTTTGCCTTTGCCCCTCGCAATTTATTGAAAGAGAATTTTTAATTAGAGAGAAATTAATTGAAATGAAAGAGAATCTGTCGCATTTCAGTAAAGAGAATTTTATTTTTTATAATAAAGTTAATTAAAGAGAATTTTATTATTAAGATCGCAAATTATGATAGGAAATAACTTATTTTTTTTATATTTGAATGAAAATAATTTTTGAAACAATCACAACGTATTGCACCTCAAATATTAAACTGGTACATTCCAAAATTTGAAATTTTGAGATTTTTAAGGTTAAATATTTACAAAATTTTGTATGGAAACAGAAAACTAATACTCTTCTGTGCTATAGCTCTATTTTACAAAAAAAATTATTTATAGGCATTATAGGATTTTATTTCACCAAAATAACAGTAATTAGGGATTAAATTTTAAAAATATAATACGCCTCTTGGAATAAGTTGTCTTGGAAAGCAAATAAAAAGTTTACTTTTATCTTTAATCAATCGACTATAGTCCAAAACGCTCCTTTTAAAGAGAATTACCCTGTTTGCGTAAATAATACATACACCTACACAACAAAATTTAGGTATATGTATGACATAGTTAATCTAATACGTGAGTATATCCACAATAAATTGTAGAATAACAAAAAAGTGAAAAAAAAATGAATGAATAATCATTTAAATGATTTTAGTTTTATATAATCAGCAGTATCTAAACATATATTAAAAGTCAGTTATAAAAAAAATTTATAACTATCATTAAATTTTTCTCTCTTTATTTTTTTTTTTTTAAATACATAGATAGTAAATATATTATGTGATCTAGGTTATATTCCATTTAAATATAAATAAATATATTATATAAAATATATTTATAGTATACTATTTTTATGTCACACAT